AAAAAAAAAAAAAAAAAAAAAAAGGAGACACCCTTATGTTTAATGTTTCTCGATTTTACAGCCCAGGCTGTAAGTTAAAATCATTGGATTGAAAGACACTGGATGATCTTTGATTAAAAGGCACATGTTAGTTTTGTATAATTTACTATAATATAAACTAACTAAAATATTTTTCTATAAAACAATTTGGTCCGATTTATTGACATAAATCATAAATTAAAACCGTTCACTTCTTGTAAGTGGCTTATTCGAATCTCACATAATCACTTTCTCATTTTCTCAATTAATATGTATATAACTTTAATATATAAATAATTTTGATATGTTAAAAAAAATATATTTTTGTATAAAATTTTTGAATTTTCAATTTGTGTTATTTTTATTGTATAAATTGTTCTTGAGCTGAATTTTTCCTCTTCTTCTTTCATCATCTGCATCCAATATATCACATAATCAACCCCTGGATGTTATTAACTTCGTTTTTGTAGTGCATATATTTATTTATTCTCCAAATTGTGTTTCTTTCTATCTAAATAAACTTTTTTTTTTTCACAAGACAAGCCAATTAAGTAAAACTCTCACAAGTAAAACTCTCACACAAGAGGGCTCGAGAAGAGAAAATGAGAACTCAAACCCTAACCATTAAGTGAGAAAATGCCTTTATATCAATAATTTAACTAGTTGCTTTATAAGTTTTTCTCACTATCTAAATGAACTATACACTAAAAGAAAATAACTCTTTTTTCTCATCCTAAAATCCTCCTTGTCCATTTCAAAATTCATGGAAATATCATGACTAAATTGCCAAATACGGAGAGTGTTGGACAATTTTGTATACAGGGTTTTTCTAAATGAGTGCAAAACCTGAATCCAGATCTTCTGACTAAACTCCATAGTTAAGCTCAAATCATTTTCTATTATTTCCTTCAAAATGAAACAATAAGAGCCCCCACAATCTTCAATAAAGGAGCAAATTGGCCCCCTTTGTAACTGTTACAATGAAAATACATGTAGAACGTAAATTGATCTGTCTAATTTACAACCAATAGCTCTCTATCTCTCTCTACCAGATGTATAGACATGAATAAATTCATTTAGTCCAGATAAAAGAGGGTGACAATTTTCCGCAGATTTTTGGCCTCTTGACATGTTTCCATGAGAAGCTTGCTGTCATGGAAGGCAAAGCAAATAACTTGCTGTACATGTGAAATGATGTCCCTATTACAAAGCCTGCAAATTTTGGCAAAGAAAATATTAGGTAGATGTACATACCTATTCAGCAAACCCGCAGACAATTTAGCAATAAAAGTCCTTCAACTGAAACCAATTGTTGCAAGTTGCAACCAGCGCTGCAAGTTTTCCAGTCTGCATATGACCATATGTATAACCAGGCAATAGGGTCACAAGCAATACTGTCAAGCAAGTAACTAGACCATACGGTCCCAAACAATATTGTCAAGCACATAACTAGGCCACAAATATGACAACTGGAACAGAGTTCAAGTAGTAAACTCATGAATGGACCAAACAATTTAGGACAAGTACTGTCATGACAAACACATCGTAGCCAACTACAGATATTGGCAACAAGATCAAAGAGTATCAGGTAATACTGGATTCTCCAAATCTAGGAGTTTTCTAGGGAAGATAATGATAGGCACAGACAACTCTGGGCAGGTTTTCATTACGGCTTGCTCAAACTAGGCAGTTGCTGATTTTCAAAAATAATACTAAGCAATCATCATGCAAAAGACAAACCTCAAAATCCAGGCTTGAAATGGTTTGCTAACTACAGCCTATAAGTCCAGAATCATGTCTAGCAACAAGTTGGTGAAAGTGCATTGAAAATTTTCTTGATGGGAGCCTATAGACTTTAATAGGGAAATTGTGGAGTTTTCCACTATGCTTATCAATTGAGCTTTAGATAAGGAAGCAATAATTGGAAGTGGAACTGTTAAATTTACAGGAGGAGCGAAGATTGAATACTTCAATGATAAATCTACCTGTTATTTTCCCATTATTTGCTCAATGGTCCTAAGTAAAAAGATTGATGGACATAAAATATTTAGAAGTGAAAATGATAGTGTGCATTAGATAGGGTTGGGTCTACCAATAAATTGAGAATGGGCAATGGGGAGATACAAACACTTTAACAGTGAAAACCGAAAATATTCCTTGGTTTTCAACCAGCCAAATTGAAATCAAATATCCAGTACTGCATTTTAAAGAAAATCTAAAATAATTATCAACAAATTAACTTGACCCTGTACAAGGGGAGAGGAGCTGGGGATGGAAATTTAAAATCAATCCGTGCCATAGTTGTGCAAAAAGGCAATTGGCAGGGCTATCATATACCTGCTGGCTTCTATGAGAGGTAGATGATCATTATAAGGCTTCTCTATCACAGTCTTCACCTGCAAAATTCAAGAATCAAATATCAAATAAAGCCCAACCATAAATACTTAATTTCAGTTTGCTTTATCAAGTTCTAAAGTAAAAGGTCTTCATGCATCTACCAGCAACTACTTAGTGAATAATATATCTAAGCCAACAACTCAAACAAAATCTTCTCATTAACAAGAAAACAAAATAATAGAAGTGTCACCATTAAATAGCCAAGTGAAAACACCGTCTCCAAAATGCCACTAGAAACTCTTTCAGCCAGAGCCAGTATCCATTGGCTCCCCAAGGTTGCGACATGGTAAATGATATTAACAGAATATAAAAACTTCTTTAAAGCAAAAAGACAAATAAGAAGCTAGTTTTTGCCTTATGTCTTGCCATCACAGGGTTACATGTGATTACCCATTCAATCAGAGATTCAATTTGAGATTCCACTTGCTACTATCATTGGCACAAATAATCTATTACATTAACTATTGAGATTTCCCTTGCTATTATCAAAGTGCATAAATATTGTGTTGGATAGAGCTGTCTAGCAACAGATATCATTATTAATTAAACCATCACTTAGATGATGGAAATAAGCTAAATGCTTTTCTAAATTCTAACAATTTGAACACAGAAATTTAAACCAAGAAGATTTGAGGATGTAATAAAACAACATTTAAAAGTTCACAACAATAGTAATGAATATTAAATAGGATTTCCTTGGATGCATATACATAACTAAATAAAGTAATTAATATCTCTCTCTTGCATCTTGGGACAAGTATCTTAACCACCAGCAGGGATAACAAGTTTCACAGCATAACCAAATCCTTACTTTTGCTAATAATTCTTGGCTCTCAGGTGGTTGCTTTTTCAGCGATTGTGGCAAGATGACTGTCAATAGCTCTGGCTTCTCTGCTCTCAAAGCACCTCTGATAACAGCTGCATTAGTACCAGAGGCACCTGAGGTATAAATATGGTTTTTCTGCAAGAAATAGAAGCAAGGTAACAAATAAAACCAACTACAGCAACACACCCATTTTATGAAAAACATAAATATAGTGAGATTTGGCATGGTAACAGTCCCCAACTGCCAAGTACTAAATATGAAAAATTAAGGTCATGGCATCTTACTGTTATAACCAATGCATAGCTAAGAATCTCAATGAGTTCTTGATGCATGAAACCCATATTCCGTGTCCCAAAAAACCCAATAGCTCGTGGCCCTTGTTGCTGAATAGCCAATAACTCCTATAAAAATGTTTAAAGAAAATGTTAAAATGTTCAAAAATTGAGTAAAAAGGTAAATCCATTTGCTAGCTGCTATGGGTTCTTAAGCTGTTAGATAGGAAATGCTCTTCAAATCTAATAAGTAAACCAAGTGCACATGACCAACAAAACTGGAAGAAAAACTTTCCAGGTTGACATACATGTCCGTAGAAAGAACTAGACTCACCTGCAGATAGTCAACATCAGCAACAGGTTTAAATTCTGAAACCGCAACTTCCCCTGACCCTTCCACAACAGATTGAACCTGAGTTGGAATTTGTACTGCCACATCTTCATCAGAACCAAACATGCTGACCAATTTCTCTTCTTCATAACCAGAACCATCCATATCTTGATCTATTCTCACACGTCCACAATGCCACTATACCAGCACAGAAAAAAGAGCCCCTGACAGTAAATCATTAGTGAAAAACCAACTGCCCACAAAGAGTGGCAATCAGACAAGACTTCATAATGGTTTTGAGGATCATACAATCAATAAAATAAGATATGAAAGAGACACGTTGAAAAGCAGGAAAAAGATTCAAATTAGCATTATCTGCACGGTTCAACTGCTAAGGTGACAGAAGGTGACAGAAGCCAGAAGGTGATGATATTTAACCCCAGAATTGCAGACTGGAAATAAGATATACTAAATGCTTTCTTTTTGGTTGCTTAGTCCTTCCAGCACTCTTTGTATCAAGATTTGTGATTTCAAAACAAATTTAAGTTCCCGCCAATGTCGGAATACCAATAAAGGACAAGAAATATCCAGAATAATAGGGGACAAAAGAAGAAATAAGAAAGAAATGGAAGGAAAATCCTTAGCATGATTTGTCATTATTTGGTTTTCAATTATAGTTTGAGATTCATCACATCCCGATAATCTAAATCCAATTGTATCCTTCCCAGATATAGACACTGGCATTTGACATGAAAAAGAGAGTCCAACTCCTTATTAAGGACTCAAACATCCACTTCTGGAAGCCACAAATTTTCTCTTCTGCAGTTACGTCCTTTACAACTTAACTTCACAGGATCTAATTAATGATGTATCATAAACTGTGTGCAAGGTAAAATCATTGAAACTGGCCTGGCTACATAACAAAGATAATCTTCATACAATTAAGGAACTCATTACTATAAGTATTTGAAAAACAATACGGAACTGACCACAGATAAAAAATTCAAAATTCCACATGGAGAAAATTAAGTTCTCCAACCAAAAACAGCTTGAAAGCAACAAGAAGAAAATGTCTTGGTGCTTCGTGCTTTATCCATGAATAATAACAGAACCATTTTTTGATGCCTTGGTCAATATTCAACCATTACACCAGGACTCAGTAAGGTCCCTTCACTAAAAAACCTAGAAACAGGAAAAACTCAGGCTGAAATGGGAAAGAAACCTCTGCATCTAAACCTCTAGAGCAAACAATATGAACCTCTCCCTTACCCCATCTCCTGTAACATTTAAAAAGAAAAAAGAAACTGACCCAGATATGCCTCACAACAACGTACGGAAACTAAGACCCAAGTTTCAAAACCCCATAATTTAGCACTAAAAGGACAATAACGAGGTAGAACGAAAAGATACCTTCTGTTTGGAGAGAAAATGCGCAGTTCTTACAGGCCATGGATGGTGAGAATGAGAAGGAGATGAAGAGCAGAGGTTGAAACTAGGGTTTTGCAGTCTGAAAGATTTGGATTGAAAATCTGAGGAACAGTGAAGAGGCGTTGTCGAAGGCAACAACAGCCTCATTGGTAAGGCTGCACTGCTCATTGCACACTACCAATTGATTTTCTCTCACTATTTTCCTGAGGGACAGCGTTTCCTTCTCTCTTTTTCCTCTTCTCACCAATATCTGCTTTTTTTTTCCCCTTTTTTTTATTTTTATTTTTTAATTTTCCTAAACAGAAGAAAAGGAAATGCAGCGAATATCTATCTGGTCTAAAGACAAAAAGATAGGGGGAGTAAAAAGTTGTGAAAAGAGCCTTTTTTATTTGATTTGATTTTGAATAACCTTTTTATTCCATTTCATCATTTTGTTGGTGTTTGATCAAATTTAACATGAAGGTCAAGGAGAAATTCTTTTATATAAGGTGAATATTAAGTCAGTGGTATCTCTATATATTGATGTAATAGTATCTTAATATTTAAATAATGGATGAATTATGATAAATTAATCTTTTTAATTATAGATACGAGGAACATATACTTATGCCTTGCTAAATTAATGGTCGGTATCCATTGTGGAAGAATTTGATCTCATAATATGAAAGATGTATGTTCAAGGTGAAAATATGGTATAAGGAACCTGAACTTGCATTATATTTGTAATTTTGAACCTAAATTTCAATTGAACTCAATTAAGGTTTAAAATTGTACAAAATTCTTAAATAAGATTTTAATTAAATTGAATTTTTTTATCTTAATTGTATAATAAAATGTAATCATTTCTTATTTTTTATCTCTTATCTCATTGCACATATATATCATATGATTTGAATTCATAATTTTTTATTTCCAACAAAAAAAGATGAACACTAAGATATTTAGGTTATTGATAATAAAAAATTAACTTACTATTAAATGTTTTATTGACTCCATTAAAAATATATTGTTACTATAGTCAATAAGTTAATGGACATTATCGAAACTAGTAAAACATTTGATAGTTAATTAATTTTTTATTCAATTAAAATCCTATTTAAAAATTTAATATAGTTTAAAATCTTAATTAAGGACAATTAAAATTTAAATCTAAAATTACAAATTTAGGGCAAAGTCGGATGCTTATATTATTCTTTTGCCTATGTTAAACCACCTTCCCTCGTCGACACGACGTAAGGGCAACAGTGTGGCGGCACGTGAGCTATCCTGATATGCCAGTTATTGTAGCACGCGCAGCCCCTTTTTAGAGTTTGCTCTTTATGTATTTTGGGTCTTAATAGCAATCAAGTTTAATAAATAAGGTTTTTTTTCTTTTATTTTGATTTTAAGCGGTAATTATTTTTATTTTACTAGTATATCATCTAATTCGATATTAAAATTTTTTATTTTTAATGAAAAGAGACAATTATTGAATTATATATTTTTATTTCACTAATATATCATGTGATTGGATGTTAAGATTTTTTATTTTTAGTGAAAAAAAATAACTATTAAATTATTTAGATAATTAGTAAATAAGTATTAATTATAATAACATTATTTAATTTAATTTGTATTTTATATATTTAAATAAAAACATTTTATTTATTAAATAAAAAAAAAATTTTATCCACGGCTTAAAAGCAATTGGATCATAAATGGCTACAACCTGCAGCACTTATCACCGTTTTTTTCTCATTTAATGATCGGAACCGAAGAGATGATAAAAGACAAAAGATAACATCTAATAATTTATCGATATAGAGAAAAATCTGATTGATAAATTTTTATAATTTCAGTGAAAAAGTCAATCAGGTAATAGGTTGATGGTCCTTAGAACTTTTATACTTTTTTAAGTTTTAAGACTCTATTTTTATTTTTAAGTTTTTTTATTTTTAATATTTAAATTATTAAATCCTACATCTCAATAAATTAAACCTTAAATCTTAAAAAAATCTAAAATTTAACACCTTAATAAAATGTAAAACCTAACATTTTAAGAATTAAATTCTAAAAAATTTAAACCTTAACTTCCTTAAAAATTAAATTAAAAAAATTTAAACCCTAACTTTCTAAGCAACGCTAATTTTAAA